AATTTAGTTGTTGTCTCATATTTTGTTCTCTCCCACCAGTACCACCCAGGAGCACCCAGCAAGTACAGGTAGACTTCCCCCAAGTTTCTATCCCCTACATGAAGCCACTGGGTGGCACACACTGTTAAGCGCTTGGTTCCTAACTGAAATGTTGGTGGTTTGGATGCACCCAGAGGTGATTCAGAAAACAGGCCTGGTGATGGACTTCTGCAAGATCAAGGCCATTGAAAACTGTGTAGAGTACCATTCTACTCTGAAAGACATGGGGTCACCATGAGTTGAAATTGACTCTGTGAAATTGATTTGAAGTTGATTGATTCATTCACCAACCATGTAAACATACACTCCCACATATAGAGTAGAGAGAACAGATATTAACTAAAACCCATTTTGTTCCCCATGAAGTCAGAAACATGGTGGACGTCCAGCACTCATGCTCACACATTGTAGATGGTATCTCATGCCCATGATGACTCCATTTGAAAGAGATACCTGGGCCAGAATTGAGCAGGATGAGTCGTCCCTATACTCACAAATCTTAAGTTTGTTGAGGAAGACAACTGAATAAAAATTGCATATGACATGAAAAAGGACATGATTTGGAATGTACAAAGTGCTAACAGATAGGCACTTAATCTATTCTAACTGCGCACAGTGCAGGTAGCCATGGGAGGTTGTATTCAATTAATGCATTGTTTTTTAAAACTGAATTCAGTGCTTGTCCTCTACTTCCTTGTTGTGGTTGTTAACTACCATCAAGTCAGTTCTGACCCATAGTGACCCGGTATTGGGTTTATGAGGCGCGCTTGAACTGCCGATCTTGAGGTCCAAAGCGACTTTGCAGTTCAGTGCACTGATCCACAGCGCCACGCCTTAGGTTCTTATAATTAACTGTTAGAGAAGACTTGTGAGTCATTCTTGACTCATGGTATTAATAACCATGTCTGTGACTTCTTAGCATCTGGGTGCATTTATATATATAAGGAAAGGTTTACAAAATCTTTCATATATAGGCAGCGAGCTCTTGGGTATACAGGAAGTGCTTTAAGAAATTATGCAAATACATCCCATTTAATGAATGTTTATGGAGTATATCTTTTCAAGGCATTGAGAAGGATGTAAAGTCAAGTCAATAGTGCTTGTTTTTCAAGTTCTTATATGCCAGAATGTGTGCATCATTCAAATTTTGCCCACAGCATCCTTTAATATTACAAGTCAAGGCTTGATTTTTTTTCTTCAATTCCCTCAGCTTGAGAAATGCTGAGTATGTTCTTCCCTTTTGGTTTTCTAACTCCAGGTCTTTGCACATTTCATTATAATATTTTACCTTGATATCTCAAGTTGTTCTTTGAAATTTTCTATTCAGCTCTTTTACCTCCTCTTTTCTTCCATTTGTTTTGACGTCTTTATGATGGAGGTCAAGTTTCAGAGTCTCTTCTGACATACATTTTGGTTTTTCCTTCTTTTTAATGACTTTTGCTTTCTTTCTGTATGATGTTCTTTATGTCATCCCACAACTCTTCTGGTCTTCAGTCTTAAGTGTGCAGTGCATCATATCTGTTCTTCAGATGATCTCTAAATTCAGGTGGGTCATGTTTTGCTCTTGTGTACTTGTGTTAATTTCTTCAGTTTCAGCCTGAATTTGCATATGAACAATTGATGGTCTGTTCCATAGTCTGCTCCTAACCTTGTTTGGGCTGACGATATGGAGTTTTACCACTGTCTCTTTCCACAGATGTAGTCAATTTGATTTTTGTGTATTCCTTCTGGTGAGGTCCATGTGTACAGTCATCTGGTGAGGTCCATGTGTACAGTCATCTTTTATGTTGTTTATAAAAGATATTTGCAATAAATAAATCATTGTTCTTGCAAATTTCTACAACGTGATCTATAGTATAATGTCTGTCACCCAGGACATATTTTCCAACCACTGATCCTTCCTCTTTATTTTCAATTTTTACATTCCAATTGCTAGTAATGATCAATACATCGTTATTGAATGTTTGATCAATTTCAGACAGAAGAAATTGGTAGAACTCCTCAATGTCATCGTCATTGACTTTAGTGGTTGGTGTGTAAGTTTGAATAATAGTGGTGTTAACTGGACTTCCTTGTAGGTATATGGATAGTATCCTATCACAGTCAGCATTGCACTTCAAGACAGATCTGGATCTGTTCTTTTTGATGATGAGTGTGACATCATTTCTCTTCAATTTATCACTTCCAGCACAGTAAACCATGTCATTGTCAGATTCAAAATGGCCAATACCAGTCCATTTCAGCTCACTAATGCCCAGGATATCAAGGTTTATGCATTCCATTTCATTGTTGACTATCTTCCTAGATTCATACTTCTTCATATAGTCCATGTTCTGATTATTAATGGAAGTTTACAGTTGTTTCTCTCTGTTTTGCATTGTGCCCTATTTGCAAATGAAGGTCCAGAAGACTTTTATTCCATTCGTATCATCACAGTCAACTCTACTTTGAGGAGGCAACTCTTCCTCAGTCGTATTTTGAATGCCTTCCAATCTGAGGGGCTCTTCTTCCAGTACTGTATCTGACAATATTCTGGTGCTCTTCATCATGTTTCAGTAGTCAATATTCTGGTACTGAAAGTGTTCCACTGCTATTCAAATGAGTTTCAGTGACTAAATATTTGGAAGTAGTCCGTCTCTCCTTCTTCCTAAACGGGGTCCGCATAGCTGAGAGAAGCACTGGGTCATCTTAGAATTTGAAACAAATGCCATTGATTTACATAGAACAAAAGAATAAGGATTTCTTGAATGACCTCAGGACCCAATTTTCTAACTATCAAGTTAAACAATACTCAGCTATATCGATTGTTGTTATTGTTGTTGTTGTGAAGTGCCATAGAGTCGGTTCCGACTCATAGCGACCCTGTATAGGGTTTTCAAGGAGCAGCTGGTGAGCTTGAACTGCCGACCTTGCAATTCAAACAGCTTTGCAGTCTGATTCATTAACCCACAGCACCACACCAGGAGTATTAAGTGCCCTCAAGTCAGTTCCAACTTTTTGTAACACTGTATAGGGTTTCCAAGGAGCGACTGGTGGGTTTGAACTGCTCAACTCAATGTTGCAGTCAAGTGTTTATCCTATACAGTGCCACACCAGCTATGTCAATGCCTCCAAAACAAAAAAAACTGGAATGCTAACAAATTATTAGGGGGAACATCACTCAAAATGTCTAAATCAATATTGACTAGAGTCTTAAACCAAAGAAATCTTGACTGAACTCCACTGAGATTTCAGAATTAACACCAAAGATTTCATCAGTAGAGAAACAATGCCAAGAAACACAGTAGAGTTATTATAGCCCTTCATCTCAGAGCATTGGGACTTGGTCTCTGGTGGCCCTATTGAAATGATTGGAGTGAAGACAATCCACCTTGCAACGAGACGAGGCTTTGCAGGCTGTTTAAAATTTTGAGAGCCTGTTGAAATATGTTGAACCATGGCACCCAACACACAATGGTGTCTATGACTAAGTGACTCTGAAATGGTAGAGAAGTCACAGTGTGTATGTGTAATTGTATCGTGGCCCATTTGCTAGCTATTTGAGTAACTAGATAAAATTAAGTTTCCTTAAGATGAAATATTTATAAAGTACAATGTCATGAAGCCAAAAAGCACTTACAATTAACCATTTTCACTGAATTGGTCAATGTTTTGCTGTGTATATATTCAACAGCAACAATGAAATAAAATAAATTATTGTTAAAAACCCAGATAAATGGATGAACAAAATGTGGTATATACATGCAAAGGAATATTGTTGTTGTTAAGTGCCATCGAGGTGGTTTCAAATCATAGTGACTCTATAAGGAGCAGCTGGTGGATTTAAACCACTGAACTTGTGGTTAGTAGTCCAGTGTTTATCCCACCCACAGTGCCACACCTGGAATATTTCTCAGTTATAGTGAAATGAATTCCTGAGGCATGCCACAACATGGACAGACCTTGAAAACATGATGCTGAGTGAAATAAATCAGCAACTAAAAGACAGAGAGCAAATGGCCCCACTGATATAAAATATCTGAACTCCTAGTGTGGTGCTGTTCCTCAGAAACCCTAAACAGCATTTCTATGAGTTGGAACCGACTTGAAATCACTTAACACCAGCATACTGTAATATAAGTATTATAATAGAAAACATTCAATAATAATATAGGATGAAGAATGGAGACTCCTGGTGGGGCACTGTAGGATCAGCACTGGACAGTGAACCACAAGGTTGACATTTCAAACCCATCAGCTGCTCCTTGGAAACCCTATATAGGGTTGCTATGAATCAGAACTGATTTGACCACACTCAACAATAATGTACATAACATGTAATTATAATATAGCATATAAGAATGTGCCCTCCTGGTGTGGCACTGTAGGATCAACACTGGACTGCAAACCACAAGGTCAGCAGTTCAAATCTACTAGCTGCTCCTTGGAGATCCTCTACAGGGTACCTATGAGTTGGAACCAACTTGACAATACTCAACAACAACTTGACTTGGCAAAGGCATAGAGACCAAAGCTCATTAACAGTTGCCTTGGTTGAGTGGGAGGAAAAAGTAGGAGGGTATTTCTAAAGCAATACAGAGTCTTTGTTAAGGATTTAAAAACATCAAAACATAGAGTGGTTGCTGTACAACACGTTGAATACAGTCAATATCACTAGAGTGTATGTATAAGGTTGGTTGAAATCATTTGCTACATGTATTACACCAAAATAAGTGTGCTTTAAAACATGACTCTCAATTCCTGCTGCCATGAAAATTGATCCTGCTTTGATGTGGACTAGATCAGGAGGCAGGATGATAATACGATTGGGTTTAAACAGTGACAGAAGGTATTCTTCATGATGAACAAGCAGGACCTTCCCTGGATTACAGTCATTCCAACTAGTGAGAAAGTGCAAACTATCCTCAGGCACCAGGTCATGGCCATCTTTGTCCAGACAATGACCAGAGCCCAGAGGACACTTACCCAGCACAGCTGCGGGCTTTGAAATAGCTGGTAACACTGAGAAACAAGGATTTGACAACATCTAGAGGAAAAGGAGAGAGCATTTAAAAACGGTTTCAAAACGAACAAGATTGGAATGAAATTCAGGAAGCAGAGCAGCCATTTGGGAAGGTCGACTTACAAGCTATAGTGACCACCAAGGAGCAGTTGAAGACACTGGTGAATATTCCTCCCAAAAAACATCTGAAACGACAACATCATGCAGGGTTAGGAGACAGTCTTGTAGACTTACTATGCCCTTGCCACCAAGTCGATCCCTCCTCATAGGGACCCTATGGGACAGAGTAGAACTGCTGTGAGATGCTAAATCTTTACCGAGCAAACTGCCTCGTCTTTCTCCCATGGAACAACTGGTGGGTTTGAACTGCTGAACTTTTGGTTACCAGCCTAATGTTTAACCCACTGGACCACTAGGGCTCCTTTTTGGTTGTTGTTAAGTGCTGTCGAGTCAATTCCGACCCATAGTGACCCTATACAGGGTTTCTGAGGAGCATCTGGTGAGCTTGAACTGCCAACCTTGCAGTTCAAACGGCTTTGCAGTCTGGCGCATTAACCCACAGTGGGTACCATCAAGTCGATTCTTAGGGACTCTCTGTGATATTGTGAAACTGCCTCATAGGGTTTTCCAGGCTGCAGTCTTCACTAGAGCAGGTTACCAGACCTTACTCTGGCTGAGCACTGGGTGGGTTTGAGCCTGTGCCACCAGGGCTCCTAAGAATCAATGTCGATTCAGAATTTCAAGATTTACTTAAAAACTACAGTAATCAAAAGGGCATGGTACTGGCAAAAGAAGAGACACATACGTCAATGAAACAGTGTTCGATTAGGGGAGGGTATTGCACGTGGTCTGACGTTGCTGGACCTGCGAGTGGACGAATGGATGAGAGGACGCAGGAACATCTAAGAAGCTAAGGATGAGAGGATACAGGAACATCTAAGAAGCTGGACTGGATGTGGCTGATATGGTCCAATAAAGATTCAACGGGAACAACACTGATGGGAGGAAAGTTCGGTCAGATGCGTAGGGAGGTGGGTGCCTATGATGACTCCTTGGAAAATCCCACAGCATGTTCTGTCTGTACCCATGCTTCTCAGACCTACCTGACCAGAACTCTCCTCCAAGGGTAAACATTTCACAGTGCACTTTCCTATCTGAAATTGAATTTATAAATACTATTTGGAGTCCTTGTGTGGTACTGTAGGATAAGCACTCGACTTCTAACTGCAAGGTTGGAGGCTCAAACCTACCAGCCACTCCTTGAGAACCTTATATATGGTTGCTATGAGTTGGAACTGACTCGAGGACACTTAACAACAGCAACAATAATAACCCATTTACACACACATATAAATGGACTACAGTAAGTTAAATATATTCACAGGTACCAGTGATCTAGAAGGTATAGATAGTATTCAATGTTTGTGCCTACTTATAATGAATAATATATATCTTAGCATTCTCTTGGCTCTCTCATACCTTTCTCTAGTTCTCTGTCTCTCTCAGGTTCCTGGTGTGGCTCTGTGGAATAATGCACTCAACTTCAAGGTAGGTTTGAGCCACAAAGTCGATGGTTCAAACTCACTAGCTGCTCCTCGGAAACCCTATACAGAGTTGTTATGAGTTGGATTCGACTCGACAGCTCTTAACAACAACAACAGATTGCTCTTAGCAGCTGTCCATCATTCCACTATATGGAAATGCCTAGTTTATTTATCCCTCCTTTAGTTACGGACATTTGGATTGTTTTAATTTTTGCTCTTATAAAACATAATGTAAAAGGGACTCAGACTAGCCAAGAAATAATCTTTAAAAACGCAGGCAAAGTTGTAGAATTCATGCTTCCCAACTTCAAAACACAGTACAGTAATCAAAACCATGTGATACTGGTATAGTGATACAAGTACAGATCAATGAGATTGAATTGAGAGCCCAGATAAGTTACTAGACTTATGGTCAGTTGACTTTTGGTAAGGGTTCCAAGTCCATTCAGTGGGCGCACCCCTTGTCCTTTACAATAGTTATAAGCACAGCTGCAAAGACAGATCTCTGGCCGTCATTGTTAACCTCTTTTGTGATTCTGGTGTATCTGCCACAAAAAGCCAATACTGGTGCATTACGATCAACTAAACTACACACTGTATTTGGATTTCACTAGTTTTTTTCCCAAAGGAGCACTGGTGGTGCTATAGAGTTAGCACTGGACTGCTAAACAAAAGTAGGTAGTTCAACCCACCCTCCACTCCTTAGGAGAAAAATGAGGCTTTCTGCTCCCAAAAAGATTTAGTCATAGAACAACTATATAGCGTTGCTATGTGTCTGAACTGAGGTGACACTGTGGGCTAATACGTCACATCCGACACATAGCGATGCTATACAGTTTTTTGCAAAGTCATTTGAACTGCAAGGTTGATGGTTCAAGCTCACCAGCTGCTCCTTGGAAACCCTAGAAAGGGTCTCCATGGGTCAGAATCGACTAGAAGGCACTTAACAACAACAATAACAACATTTGTGATACCATGTTGAAGAAGAATACTGGAAGTACCACAGACTGCCAGAGAACAAACAAATCTGTTTTGAAAGAAGTACAGCCAGATTGTTCCTTAGAAGTCAGGACGGCGAGAGGTCCTCCCTCAGACTTAGCACATGTTCTGAGGAGGGGTCAGTTCCTGGAGAAGGACATCACACTTGGTAAAGTGGAGGGTCAGAGAAAAAGAGGATGGCATCCCAAGGAGATGGACTGGCACAGTGGAAGCAGTAATGGACTCAAACATAACAACAATTATGAGGATGGTACAGAGCTGGGTGGTGTTTCATTCTGTTGTACGTATGTCACCATGAGTCAGAACCGACTGGACATGCCTAACAACATGGCACTGCAGGGAAGGCGCTGGACTGCAAGGTCAGTTTGAACCACAAGCTCAGCAGTTGAAACCCACCAGCCGCTCCTTATAAACCCTATACAGGGTCACTATGGGTCGGAACTGACTAGATGGCATTTAACTCAACACAACATAACAGCCTTTTTCTAGTAGGAAGCCATACAGGATTCCATATTGCATTAAGCTGTCCTATCTTCCTAGGTGGGTCTGAGTTGGGACAGTTTCTGTCTTTCCTTGCTTTTGATGATCTGACAGTGCTGAGATGCCTAGTCAGGTGTTTGGTAGGATGTCTTTCCCTTGTGTTTGTCTGATGTTTCCCTCATGGTTAGTCTGGGGTATGAGTCCTGCAGAGAAAGACCTCAGAGCTAAGATACCCTTCCCATGGTAGTCTATCAAAGACTCATACTATCAGCATGCTCACCAGCATGCCTTCACTTTGATACCTAGTGAGCTAGTATTTTCCACTACCCCTTTCCTTAGAAGAAAATCACTAAGGGCAGCTCATGTACTCCAGGGGGAGTTAAGCCCCACCTGCTTAACCCATCTGCTTGAGGGCAGAATATCTACTTACATTGACAGGAGAAGACTCCCTGATCAACCAAGTTTGAGAAAGAGTGGGTTTAGGCGCTGAACTGCAATGTCAGTTTGAACCACAAGGTTGGTGGGTCAACTTCACCAACTGCTCCGCACAAACCCTATACAGGGTGGCTAGGAGTCAGAACTGAGTTGACAGCACTTAACAACAACAATAACAAGTTCAGTGAAGCTAAGCATGTTCCTTTACTACGTATTTCACTGAGCTTTATTATACTAATCCACTTTATGATTCTCCAACTGGTGATCCATAGAGCAGAATTTTGTAAATTTATTTTTAACCAGAGTTCCCTCCCTCTTTTGTTCTTTTGGTCCCATTGTCATCTAAAAATGCTTCTCAAACCTCATAATTATCTGGGAAGCTTATTTTAAAATACTGATTCTCACTAGATCTAAATTAGAATCTCAAGGGATGTTTATATTTGAAAAACAACTTTGTATTTTAAAAAACAACTCTCGCAAGGGATTCTGAGTTAAATGACCCAGGAAAACATAGTTTAAAGAGCAGTCCTGGTGTGACACTGTAGGATAAGCGCTGGACTGCTAACCATAAGTTCAGTGGTTCAAACACGTCAGCTGCTCTTCTGGAACATTCTACATGGTTGCTCTGAGTTGGAACTGACACAACAGCACTTAACAACAACCAAAACAGCACTTGGTGATACGAGTGCAAGGCCAGAAAGACCTTGGAATATGACTTTTCTCCTTGTTTCATTGATTCAACGAGTATCATTGAGACATGGCACTGGAACTACAGAAGCGAAGCAGACCCACGCTGTCTGCATTGAGTCACATCGAAGTCACGCTCTAGTAGCACGAGATACACCATTCATATTTAAGCAAGTGAACATACAATGTGTCAGGTGATAACATACTCTGAAGTGACAAAATCAGGGTGTATGTCGTCAAGAATACGATTTATACAGAGTGGTTGTGGAAGGTCTCTCTGGTGCTGTGACATTTGAACAGATTCCAGGAGGAATGAAGGACACACATTATGAGATGAACTGGAGAAGTCTATAGAAGACAGAGTGGGCAGCAAGTGCAAAGGCACTGTGGCAGGAGTGGGCTTAGTCCACAAGGGAGTTGATCACTGAGCTGGAGAACTGGGCAAGGAAGAACTGAAAGTCAGGGGAGGGTGGACTACAGAGGGTACAACACAAAACACCTCTAATCACACTTGAATGCATCTTTTCAGAGATGCTGAGTGAACTTGCTTGGACTAAAGAGTTGATTTTGTTGATATTTTGTGCCGTCAAGTTGGTTCCAACTCACAGTGACCCTGTACAGGATTTCTGAGGAGACTGACGTTGCAGCCCAGTGTGTTTCCTACAATGCCACACCAGGATTCCAAAGAGTTTATGTTACTGTATAAAAATATAACAGGAAAGGTGGAGTCCTGGTGAGGACACCAAGTTCCCTAATAACGACTTTAGCATCCTTGAACTCTGGGCAGGATGCCACAGTTATACCTGTAACAAGGAGTCTCTTGAGGCTTAGAACTACATGCTAAAATCAACTGTTTAGCAAGATCCACTGGCATTTGCATGCTTTGTGAGATGATGAGGGGAGGAGGTGATGCAGAAAAAAGACACTTACCCTGGTCAGGAAAACAAATTGTAACCATAGAGAGACTGCAAATGCTCTGTGGAATAAGACAAGGAATCCATCCCTAAGTGTCAGCCTCATTCATTATGAGAAAAGTGTGGAAATAAGAGCTGACTTACCTAGCACATGCAGAAAAGATGAAGCACGCAGCCAGCAGGATAGCTTGAAAAGAGACCTCTTGGAGCAAACTGGTTTCTAAGAGGGAAATACAATGGAATGGATCAGAAGTCACTACTGGTGAAATTAACTTGAAACGACAAAAATTATGCTAAAGCTTCTCTTCTATGGATGGGGGTCATCTCAAGCAATTTGTCATAAGTTGTTGTTGTTGTTGTTAGGTGCCATCTAGTTGGTGCCGACTCATAGCAACCCTATGTACAACAGAACTAAACACTGCCCATTCCTGGGCCAACCTCACAATTGTTGCCACGCTTGAGTCCATTGATGCTACCACTTTGCCAATCCATCTCACTGGGGATCTTCCTCTTTTTCTCTGACCCTCCACCTTACCAAACATGATATCCTTCTCCAGTGACTGGTTCCTTCTGACAATATGGTTGAAGTATGAGAGACAAAGTTTGGCCATCCTGACCTCCAAGGAGCACTCTGGCTGCACTTCTTCCAATACAGATCTGTTGGTTCTTTTGGTAGTCCATAGTACTTTCAATGTTCTCTTCCAATGCTATAACTCAAATGCAGTGATTTTTCTACAGTCTTCCTTATTCACTGTCCGGTTTTCACATGCATATGAGGTTATTGAAACTACCATGACTTGGGTCAGTCAAGCGTACCTTAGTCCTCAAGCTGACATCTTTGCTCTTCATCACTTTAAAAAAGTCTTGTGCAGCAGATTTGCCTAATGCAATACGTCATCTGATTTCTTGACTG